GGAAAATACCTGTACATTAATTGCTCCCCCATGTTCCCGTCTCCCTCATTTTCCAAAATCCGTAGAAGGGAATTAGGAATTAATTCCCTAATTCCCTCCACTACTTCCCCTGCTGCAACCCCTCTCCCACCCATCTCCCCTTCCTCTCTCTCTCTCTAACGTTCACACCATGCTGGACAATTGCTGGAATCAAGGCTTGAATGCTCCTTCCAATTTCCCTTGCTCCTAAGCCTAGAAACCTGAGATTTCTCTCAGATTTTGGCTCCAAATCTCTCAGGTTTTCAGTAAGAAACCTGAACAAAATCTCAGATTTCCGGAAGGATCTTTTTTTTTTTTAGATTTTTGGAGAGGAGATCCTCTCCCTAGTGAAAATCTTGTGGGCAACCGGGGTGGTTTGAAAATCTTTGCAAATAACAGTCTAGAGTTTTACATGACCAGTTGTGATGCTAACTCGACGGAGTCAAGTATTCTCCCACCTGGGGAGAATGATGCGGACATCGGCACGAAGATTTGGCGCATCTATCACAGGAGGCGTCGTAAATCGACGGCTCTAATTTACGTTGTCATTTATGATTTATTTTATGAAGTTTAGCTTTTATTTTATAATATTTCATGTTCTATCCCTAGGTTAGTTTATTTGAGTGTGGTGGCTCAATGGGCATTTTTGTAATTTTTGATTTTCTCATGATGTGACCTATATATAGGGCCTTAAGCTATTGTAATAGGGATGATTGATTGATATGAAAAATTATTTTTCCACACTTGTGTTCTTCTTGTGAGAGAGCGTTAGTGGGATTCCTATGAGAGAAATCGAAGTCTTCACCAGCCGCAGGATGGGTTCGGGCTCGTGATTTGAAGTCCCTTGGAGAAGGGCAAAGAATCACCCGTCAGTCTTCGGAAGAGTCCGAGGCTCGCGGTTTTTTCATTTTCAGCCAGCACAAGTTAACTCCCTATCCCTCCACGTGAAATATGGAATAAGACATTTATTTCCTTTTCTCCCCACTTTGCTCATAGCCGAATTTCCTCAAAACTATTTCCTATTCTATTTCCCAAATCACTTTCCTGATTTTGGAAATAGAAAGTCTACAGTTTTTCCTACTTTTCCCCACCGTCTCCCTCTTAATTGTTTCGGATTGTTTCCCTAGTCAAATTCTTTTTGTTTCAAGAGGGAAATCTGAATTTCTCTCAGGATTGGGAACGGTGCCCTTCCTCTGTTTCTAGATTGCTGAAGTTCCTCTCAAATTTTGGGAGAAAAATCTGAACTTTTTCAGAAAAAAAAAAATTGTTTCAGATTATTGCCATCACCTCCCGTTCAGATTCTCTTTTGAGTGTTGGTTTCCTTCAGATTTTGGGGGATAGAATTTGGAACTAATTTCGGTTTTTTGTCCAGAACCTTCCTTGTTTTGTTCTTCCCCCAATTGCAAGAGAAACATCTACCCCGTTCTACATCACGAAGCCAAAGAGACATGTTAAATATGAAATGTGGTAATTGTCAAAGTTCAGTTATTTGATAGGAAACACTTGTAGATCTCAAGTAATTCCTATCAATCTTCGAAAAACAGCGAGAATTCTCCACAAAAATCCACACAAAAATAGGAAAAACAGTAGATATTTTGTAATATTTGATGAAATAGAAACGAGAAATAGCAAGATACAATTGATCCTCAATTCAAGAGGAGGATCGAACTCTCCCAAATCTCTAGACACCGCTAGAGTCCAAATGAAAACCTAAATCTAAGAGATCTCAAATTTCATCCCCAAATTCAAGATGCCCTAACCCTAGGAAAACCAACTATTTAATGCATACAAATCAAAAGGAAATCCCTAAACAATCCCTACATTCAAATTTTCCTTCTAATTCTCTCAAAAAACCATCCTAAACAACTTCATGGGATCCGGCTAGGGGTGCAAATGAATCAAGCCGACTTGCAAGCCAGCTCGGACTCGACTCGGTAACTAGCTCGACGAGTCGAGCTTATCGAGCTCGTGAGTCGAGCTCGAACACCATTTCGAGCTCAATTGTTTATCGAGCTCAAGCTCGAACATACCTCTGACTCTACTCGTTGGCTCGTCGAGTAGCTCGTATGTGTTACTGGCGGGAAAAAAAATTGGGTAGTTGCGAGCGGATGACGAGCTTGGGACTCGACAGCAGCCGCGACGATGAGCTCAGGACTTGACGGACGAACGGCAAACGTTGGATCTCGACGGCGGGCGCGACGACTAGCTTGGGAATCGACGGCGGCCATGACGACTAGCTTGGGACTCGACGGCGGCCGTGACGACAAGCTCAGGACGCTAGATCTCAACAGCAGACACGATCTTGACAGCAAACACGACGACGACCTCGTGACGACGATGTCGACGGCGGATCTTATCTTGAGTCGAGCTCGGGACGCTGGATCAGATCCAATGGATCTTGACTGCGAACTCGACGACGGTTGAGCAGACGCGATGGCGAGCTCGTGACGATAAAGGAGTTCGCAGTGGAGCTTGACGAGCCTACTCGGGACAGAGCTCGCAGCAGAGCTCGACTGAGCTCGATGAGCCGCTCAACATATGAGACGAGTAATAGCTCGAGCTCGGATTTTGAGCTCGACTCAAGTTCAAGCTTGAGCTCGGTATTTGATAGTTAAGCTCGACTTGAACACTGCCTGGCTCGAGCTCGACTCAACTTGTTTGCACCCCTAGATCTGGCAGATTGCGCAAGGCGTATAGGAGGCGGAGATTTCCACCCTTATTCGCCTAGGTTGGTCCCGTGTGGACCGGCTGGACTGATCCAATGGACCGATCTAACAATACTTTGCTCCCAAAGATCCACCTTGTCCGCAAGGTGGAAAGATGATACCCTCCTCTATTCCTTCTTCATCACAATTGGTAAGAACCTGAATATTTTGGTCCTTACACATGTGCCCCGGCATATACCTCTCATCACATCTAAAACATAGTCCCTTCGCCCTCTTCTCCTGTAATTTCGTCTCTATGAGTTTCTTGAAGTTGTCCCCAGGTCTTCCTCCTACAGTGTTTTCCTTCGAAGTCCCCCGAAGAGTATCCGGTGTTGGCTCCTTAGATTTCAATAAGGTGATGGTCATCATGTACGGGCCTCCTGAGCTGCTGCCTCTTGTCTCTCTCTCCAGGTGCATCTGATCTTCTACCAATTGAGCTAGCTCCATCGCCTCTCCCAAGTCACGGGGACTCATTACTCTAATCGTTGCTCGGATCTCTGGTGTCAATCCCTTCATAAAGTTCACCTCTAGCACTGTCTCAGGTCCAATCGGCTAGCAATATACTCGAACCTATCCCGGTACTCTATTACTGCGTCAAGGCAAAGAACTGCTCTTAGAAGTCTCCTCACATGCCGGTTCGGAAACGTTCTATCAAACAATCCTTGAACTCCCTTCAACTCTGTATGGGTCGTCGCATGTCCCTCCATTGGTACCAAGCCAAAGCTTTCCCTTCCAAACATAGGCCTGCTACCGTCAGTCTCTCCTCCTCCATCAACCCATTGACGCCGAAATATCTTTCAACCTTATAGATCCACTAGTGCGCATCCTCCCCTCAAAATTGGCATTTTCAATTTTCTCACCTTCGGATCGCCTCTATTCTCTCTGTTCCCTCCATAATTTCTCATTCCCCAAGGGGGTGGTTCCCCTCAAGTATCACAATCATCCCTTTTACATTCATACCCCAGTCTTTCATCAAATTACCGCCTTTTTCTCTCAAATTCAGCACCCCTTGGATCATAACAAACTTTTCCCCTTTCAAATTCCCCCCCCCCCCCCTTTGAGCATAATTACCCATTTTCCTTTTCAATCTCGCCCCTCTCCTCTCCAAATCAGCACATCTTAGTTCTTTTCCTATCTCTTCACGCCTCTCCTCGTTCCCTCTACACGGTTCCTCCCTAGAAACAAGCTCTACGAGAGGTATTGACTCTTCTCTATTTCGAGTCTCGACTCTCGACATCCTGATCTCCCTTTTGCCTAATTGGCTTAGGATTTTTCCCATCTACATGGCTATCGGCGCCTTTCCTCACCTCCGACGGCGATATTTTGGTTTGGCCCTCGATGCACTTTCTTTAACATCTCCTCCATAATAGAAAATTTCGAATCGAACTTATCATAAATGGCTGAAACATCTTTTTTTAAATTTGAAACTTAAGTTTGGAGATATGATATTTTAGATTTCATTTGTCTAATCTCCACTTCGAGGCATTCCTCCAATGCATCCATTTTCTTGGCCGCCATTGATGCCCGAATTTTTGTATAAATAAAAATTTGGACTTCTACATTCAAAAACAGCAACTTTCTTCTTCGAAATCCTAAAAGCAAAAGCTGAAATTCACCAAAAAAGCCCACCAAAGGTCCCAAAAATTGCTCTGATACTAATTTGATAGTAAACACTTGTAGATCTAAAGTATCTCCTATTGATCTTCGAAAAACAACGAGAATTCTCCACAAAAATCCACACAAAAATAGAAAATAGAGTAGACATTTTGAATTATTTGATGAAATAGAAACGGGAAATAGCAAGATACAGTTGATCCTCAATTCGAAAGGAGGATCGATCTCTCTCAAATCTCTAGACGCCGCTAGAGCTCAAAAGAAAACCTAAATCTAAAAGATCTCAAATTTCAGCTCCAAATTCAAGATGCCCTAACCCTAGGAAAACCAACTATTTAATGCATACAAATCAAAAGTAAATCCCTAAACAGTCTCTACATTCAAATTTTCCTCCTAATTCTCTCAAAAAACCTTCCTAAACAACTCCATGGGATCCGGCAAATTGCACGGGGCGTACAGGAGGCGGAGATTTCTACCCTTATTTGCCTGGGCCGGTCCCATGTGGACCGGGTGGACCGGTCTAACATTATTCCATGTATTTAAATTAATACAAAACAACCCCTAGTGTCTTACTAAACATTGATATGAATCTCACATTGTGTTATTTTTAAAGCTCAGAGAGAAAATTTACAAGTAAAAAGGTATAAAGTCGTAAGAGTGTACAGATTGAAGCATAGATCTGTCAAACGCACTCAAACCAAGCCATTTAAAGTGTCAGCTGCTCCATATCTTTTCTGTTTATCCGGTTATTTTCTTCCCCAGGCATTCTCACTTCTTGTGGAACTTCACAAGGATCCTCCCTCAGGCTAGAGCTTGCTTCTTCAGTATCCGAAGACCCAGGCCTTTCTGTCAGGAAATGCTCCCAGAATTTATCATTTACTCCTCCATTAGCAGGTAAAGGTGCTTGTTTGCCTGCTTGAGAAACCCCTCTAAATGGTGGAGCTTCAGCATCAGTCAACACCTGATTAGCATTCTTATTTTGCCCAGAAATGTAAGTACTATCATCCCCCGTATTGTCAATTGTTGCTCCAAGATCAACAGAGCTTGGAATTCTGCTCAAATTATTGCAGCTATCTATATGCATTGAAGAAGAGGCAAGGCTAAGTTTCAAGTGGCATGAAATAAGCCCATCCCCATCATCTGCTAACAATGAATTCTTCCTAGGGCAGATAGAAGCTCCGGTATCCGAAAGCTCAAGAGTCTCAGGTACTAAATGTAGGCATTCGATCCTGAGAGGGCAATCATCATCCCCCGGCCTCACTTGTGGACTTCTAATACCTTCATTGAAGCCCTGGTTACTGGGAGACACCAAATTGCTTTCAGAAAAGGCTGGGCTCAGCTCCAGCCTCAATTTATCACAAAAGTCTTGGCTGAAGACTTGGCCGACTTCTGTTGTAGGCTTTGAATTGCTACAAGAATTCTCACAGACGCTGTTATCCGCGACCTCGGGACAATACTCCACTCCCGGATGCCTTCTCTTCTTATGGAGAGCAGAGGCCGAAGAGCCAGCCATGATAACAAGATTATCAAGAAACTTAGGGTTTTGGACGGCTCTCTGAAGAAAAGCGACCATTTTAGCCTGCCTTTGCTCCATATTCAGCAGCCTACGCTCGATATCTTCGAGCTGGATTTTGGTCCCGGACTGCTGCTGCTTGAAGCGCCTTAGATCGGCCTGGAGCACCACCTTCTCTTGCTGAAGCCGCTCAATCTCCTCCTCGAGTACTGCTCGCTCTGCATCCGCGGCGACAAGCGGTGGGTTGCTGTGGCTGTGAATCGGCTTCCGGCGGTGGATGTTTTTTAGCATATTCTTCTGACCCTTGACAAATTCATCGTTCGCAAACTCCCAACGTTCCGGGTCGATCTTCCGGAAACCCTAGGGACAAGAAGAAAAACGCAATTCTTGATCAAATTTCACGGCTGGAGAAACAAAACCCTAACTCTAGAATAATGGAATGAGCGATTACATAAGTGTTGAGTTGTCGGATAAAGCTGGAGAAGTTGTTGTGCTTGAAGTAGGTGGGAAGGAGACGGGATGAGAACTCCGGCGGATTCCAGACAACAAAGCTGGTCTTGGAGTTGCTCCACGAGACGATGTCGTCCGTGGAAGAATCGTCGACCATGTCATATGTTTTGACGAGAAAGGGTGCGGGTCCACCAGCTCCCGCGGAAGAAACGCCGGCGATAGCATCGACGGCGGACGATGTTGGCTCCATCGGAGGAGTTTCCCTTGAGCTAGGTTCGCAGAAACTGCCAGAATCGGGCTGAGACTGTACGTTGGCCGGCAGAAAACAGGTAGCAGATGAAAGATGGCTTGCTCGGGAAGGGCAAATTATTGGGTAGGTGACCGAACGCAGAGATAGGTTCGGATAATAATAAAATATTATTTTAAAATTAGCGCAACTAAAGCGCAACTAAAGCGCAACCAAAGCGCAACCAAAGCGCAACCAAAGCGCAACTAAAGCGCAAGTCAAAAAGCGCAACTAAAGCGCAACCAAAGCGCAACTAAAGCGCAAGTCAAAAAGCGCAACTAAAGCGCAAGGTGACGCGGCAAATTTTTATTGGCTGTCCGAACTTATCTTTTGGCTCCGGTCACCTGACCCAATAATTTGCCCAAAGATTGTGGCTCGTAGGCGAAGTCGCTGGGCGAATTCGGATGCAGAAGTTTCTCCGCGAAGCTGACACGAGGGAGGAGCAGTCGAACTATGTCGTCCGGGATTCGTCCCGATACAATTACAGAGCTGCCAAGTAACCAAAATATATTGGACCCAGTGTAATCCGGTGATACGGCCCATCTGAATTGTGTGTGAGTTAATAATCCACCGGTTGAGAAAATTATTATGTCCAATGTCCGGACATCAATTCAGACGAGTCATATCATCAAAATATATCAGGACTCAGTATATTCAGGTGATGTGACGCATCTGGATTGGGTGTCCGGAAGTCCGGTGATCGGACTTAATAATTCAATAATATATATATATATAATATATATATATATATAACTTTTAACATATCTCTTAATTTTTATCAAACATCGCCAAACATTACCCATGGAAAAAATAGTGGCCAATGGTGGGGGGTAAAAGCTAATGATAATTATTTTTAAAAATACTTCAAAAATCTTAAAATTATTATGACTATTTTTAAAAATAATTTAATTTAATTTAAAAAAACAATAAAAAATTTTAAAATATAAATTAAAAAAAAATAGAAATAAAAAGTGATCACAAACAACAAAAGCATCAATAGGAAATATTCTAAATATAAATTTGCAAATGGAATTGCAATATCAAGCATAACTAAAAAACCAGAATAATATCATTTCAGAAAGAAAAAATAATAATAATAAGAGATCACATACTCAGTCTCTCCATAACAAAATGTATCCTTCCATGCATCCATCGTCCACATACGCAACTCTTACAGTCCCTCTATTTGTTCCTTATCTGCTATTTGCCCAAAGGCGTTCTTCTTCCCTCAAAGCTTTACAGTGGGAGAGATCGAAACACCACTTAAGTAGCTAATGGTGAGTGAGTTCATTAACGCAAGTTACTTGTCCCCGGCCTGTAATTGCTGAATGAATAGTTATAGGAAGAGTCGTCGCTCATTTGCCATCTGTGAACCATACTGGTAAGGCTAACAGTTGAATCGCCATCATCGGTGCCATCGCCATAGTTGCCGGGACACCACCGGTCTGCGATGGGAGACAACATGGTGACAACGTTGCTCATTTCAGGCCTATAGCTAGGTTCACGAGCAGTGCAATGGTAAGCAATTTCGGCTAAATCTGCAATGCTGCTGCGAGATTCCTCGTCGCTGAAGATGGAAGAGTCGACGAATCTCTCTAACCTAGCAATGTCTCTGGGATGAATCCTGCGGAAAGCTGCTACTAAATTGGCGTCCTCGTCGGGGACGGTGTCGTCGAGTACCTTCCTACTTGTCATTAGCTCCAACAGTATCACGCCAAATGCATAAACATCAATTTTCCGAGTGATCTTTCCTGTAGCTGTAAGAAAATGATTTGTGGAATCAACACTTGTTGAAAGAGGAGATTGAAGCATTTACAGTCGCAGAAGGTAAGCACGCCAGAAGTAAGATATCTTATATAGATTACTTGCCCACATGGAGTTATTTCAAACAGGTGCAAAAATGAAAATAGCAAGACAGTGAGGTAAACTTCATAGCAAGACAGTCTTAATTGCATATCAAAAGAGATAAGAATTTGGATATCTTACCAGCAGAAGTATTTGAAAAAAAAAAATATTTAATGTAGTTAGCATTTACTATTAGGACATAAATCATACATGGCCCCCAAAGACATGCATCAATGACAGCTGATTTAGAGTTATTTTAATATAATTTGCATGTCTGTAGTTGAAATGTAGTTATTTTAATCTGATAAGTTCAATATGGGTTTTACTAAAATGGAATAACATTCAAATTTCTGGCTTGTGATCTGACAATGGCAATCATATGTGAAGTTACATTCTTCTATTTTGTCTGAGTACCTGACAAAACATACTATTCGTGATTTAGATTCGAATCCTCTCCATTTATCATGATAATTAGAGGGTAAGGTTCTTCAATCCTAGCCATTCAATTCACTTCAGATGATTGGATTAGGGGTGTAAGTGAGCAAAGCCGGCTTGAGCTCAACTCGATAACGAGCTCGTTAGTTGATCTTATTAAGGCATAAGCTCGAGCTCGAGTTCGAGTTCAAGCTCGATAAAGCTCGACTCGTGAGGTCGCAAGTTGGCTCGTAATTATTTAATTAATTGAATTATTTTACTTAAATTAATCAACAAATAAAAAGTTTACACTAATAAAATCAAAACAGACTCTCAATCCAAAAAAAGTACTAGTTCACCAGAAAAAGCTAATCTTCATTAATGATATTGCGGCAATTTTTAAAAAATAACAATTAAAAAGTACTGGTTCACGGCTTCACGCATTGCCTCCTCTTCGTCCATGCTCACACAGCTACTTTGCCTCCTCTTCGTCCATGCTCACACAGCTACTTTGCCTCCTCTTCTCCACTTCTCACTCAACAATGACATATGCTGTGATGACATGCATTCATCTTCTCCGGCGGAATCAGTTGAGGCTGCTTGTGAGATACTTGCGAGCCCATTTATATTATCACAAGATGAGCTTGAGCTGATATTTTGGGATCGACTCAAGTTCGAGCTCACAATTTAACTAACGAGTCAAGCTCGAGTTAGACATGACTTGAGCTCGACTCGACTCATTTACACCCCTAAATGGGATTGATTCTACTTAATTTTTTAAGTGAAAGCTAAAAATAATCCCCCAACTATTAACAAATGCCCAATTAATCCCAAACTTTCACAATACTCCAATTTAGTACCCGATTTTCAGGAAATATCTCAATTTGGTCTTAAGGTCAAAAGTAACTGTTAAAGTTAACCTCAATGATTAAATGTAAGGAATTTTGAATATTATGTTGTATATGAGATTATATTATTATTTTATATATTTTATCATTTATCATATAAAAATAAATACAAAAATCATAATAACAATTAATTACGTTTACTAATTGTTCATTCTTGTTATTTAGTTGGATAACTTCCATTATAATTTTATATTTATTTTAATATGATAAATAACAAAAAATATTAAAAAATAATATAATCTAACATACACAATAATACTTAAAATGCCCCCACATTTAACTATTGGAGTTAATTTCAACAATTACTTTTGACCGTTGGACTAAATTGGATTATTTTTTAATAATCCGGAAACTAAATTGATTCATCATAAAAGTCTAGGGCGAAATTGAACATTTACTAATAGTCAAGAGACTATTTGGTGCTAGAATTATCATTCATTTAATTTAAATTTATCTCATCGATTCCTTGTAGCTAAGTTTGAGGTTTTTACCAAGGTACTCAATACATCGTGGAGTACCTTGATCGGATGCACAAATTGGCACTAAGTATGGAAAAGGATCTCGGTCCGCCGTACTCCAGTGTTAAGCTCCTTCCAGCTTCGGAGCGAGCCCATCGAACGAACTGTTTCAAGAGTGGAGTGCATCCTTCTATCACTCAACCCAAACTTAACCTGCAAGACACCTGCGAATGGGTACCTACACAGGTATACATGGGTGTATACTCTTCACCTCTCCAAACTTAAAGAATCCACCCCAAAATAAGAAATCGTCCTACAACTTCTGAAAACCTGAAATAAAACTCAAACCAAATTTTCTCCTCCCCAACATAAGACTTAAGAATTTACAGACAAACACCTATTAACAACAAAACCACTTAATTATTAAACTTCTCGTCCTACTAAAATAAGGAAATGATACCTCATATGTGTTTTTTAAAATTTTGAAAAGGATCACCCATATTAATACTGAGAGATTATTACGTGCGGTGTCCGGACCGTCCGGAGGCGAATTCAAACGTGCCGCATCACCCAGGTTCACTTCCGGACGAATCCGGACGCCGCACGTAATAATTTTCCCCTACTACTATATCATTCTCACCGGGTCAAGGTAGACTCATCCTCAATATCTTGAAAATGTTCTTGCTAGTGATATGGAGAAAGTTTTGCCATTAAGCTAAAGCTCTGAAAGCAAGTTGATTGATAAAAACAACAAAAATAATAATAGGAATAAATACTAGTAACCCTTAACAAAACTAGACAGATTCAGGAACCCTACGAAAATATTCGTCAATGATAGAGGATCTATAAATGCTAAGATTAATTCTTAAAAAAAAAAAGGAAATAAATAGAGAGAGAGAGAGGGAGGGAGAAACTATAAGAAGCTGTAATTCCACCCTTCCCAATGTCTAATTCCCCCTGCCATCTCTGTTCTCGATTTAGAAAACAAGCTGCAGGACTTCAACAGCTGCTTTGTATATGTTTTAGCTTAGAAAACCTGCCACCTATGTCGTCCAGCATTACAAGTCCTGGCTGGCTTTCAGGACAGCCGTTGTCTGCAGTTTCCCCGCCCTGGAGAATGTCAGGTGTAGCTTCCTATGCTAAGGTTTGTCGTCAGATATTCCCTAAACCCTAAACCAGATTTCAGGAGGTTTCTTGATTCAACAATTTGAGGGTTTTACGCTGAAAACCAAGGAAGATCGTCACGATCTGACCCCCGCAGGGTCAAGAATTACAAAACTATCCTGATGACACCTGCTACTATCAAGATAGCACCTAATACAGCTTGGGCAACCGGGGACAATAAGAAAAGTGGACGGCCATTTCTCAGATCTGGAAGCAGCTGCTGAACACCAAGAGGTGAATTTCAGTGCCGGAATCAATTTTGGTGAAGTCCTGAACTCCAATATGACAGCTTATCCTATAGAATGATTTCCCCCGCTGCTATTAGATTTTTTTTAATTGCTGCAAGAAATTGGTTGATAGCCACTTGAAATGGTAACATCAAGACCAAAACTAAGAAAGATCATGGACCGAACACTGTAATATCAAGAATTACAAAATTATCCTGATAACATTTGTTACTATCAAGATAGCACCTAATATATCTTGGGAAACCTGGGACAGCAAGAAAGGTGGAGGATCCCTGTCTCAAATCTGGAAATAGCTACCAAACATACCCCAGGAGGTGGATTTCGACTGTCAGAATCAAGTTTGGTAGTCTTAGGGGCTGTTTGGTATCGGATTTGCACCTGGATTTAAGCAGGATTTAAGGTAAATCCAATCAAATAGTTTTTGTTGGTCATTTAAATCCGACTCCTGCGTAAATCCAGGATTTACAGATTTACGGTGTAAATCCGCGTAAATCTAAATCCCATCGAGAGGCGGATTTATGGATCTACGGACTCGGATTTAGCGGAAGAAGCGCGCGAAAGGGGAGAAAAATCGTTACCTTCACGAAGAGGAGCAGGCAAGACCTTGGATAGAACTTTCTCCCGTTCTTCTCCATTGCTTCATTCGTGTACCTCCGCCTTGAGTAGACAAGGAAGCAGCGAGCAATCTCTCCTCGTGCGAAGCACATACAACACGTGACCGAAGCAGCCACAAAGAAATGGCGACGAGGAAAAGAGAAGAAGCCAAACTCGAGATTATAAATTAATCTAATAAGAAATAGTATAAATAAGTAATCTAATTAAGTTTAATTAAATAATTAGTATTCTAATTGTCATTACATTAGTTTAATATAATTAAAAGTTAAGACTATAATTGGGTAATTAGTTATTAGTTGTATAATTATCATTAAATTAGTCTAATTATCATTAAATTCATTTAATTAGTTTAATATAATTAGATGTTTGCTTAATTAAAACTAATTATTAAATTAATTATTTATGTGTTAATAATCAAATTATTTATTATATTATTAATTATCTAATTATGTCATGCAAATTAAATCCAAAATACATTAATTTAATTTCTAAATAAACCAACCGACTTAAATCTTGAATTAACTTGCCATACAGTTTATAAAGATTTATCAAATTCAACATTTTTCATACAAACAATTTTCAGGATTTAACATCTTCAAGTACTAAATTCGGATTTACAAAATTTACTAAATCTCACTAAAGTTAAATCCAATCCAATACCAAACAACCCCTTAGACTCCAATAGAACCACTGATCCTATGGAATGATTTCTCCTGCTGCTATTTGGATTTTTTTCCCCTTGAAGAAACTGGTTGATAGCCACTTGAAATGGTAACGGGAAGACCAAAATAGATGAGGAGAAAGGATGGAAGCTTAGTTGATTGATTGCCGCAAAACATAATACACTTGTCACTATCGAGATAGCACCTAATACACCTTGGGCAACCTGGGACATCAAGAAAAGTGGATGGTACCTTTGTCAAATCTGGAAATAGCAGCTAAACATACCCCAAAAAGTGGATTTCGACTGCCAGATTAAATTTTGGTATAGTCTTAGGTTTTGTTAGGGACAGTTTTCTTGTGGCTTCTTAAAGCAGCTTTCTAGTTCAATAATTAAAATTTTTGTACTAAAAAGCTGTTTTAAGAAGGAGTAAGGAAGCTGTCC